TGCGTGTCCTAGTTCTGCGCACGTTTTCGCCTCAGCACGGGCTGATCCAACATGACAAACCCCAAGCGAAAATCGAAAGTTAAAGCCAGCGCAAGCACCCCCTCGTCGAACGTCTCAGGTCCAAGCCGCCTGGTTACCACCTGGACCGACCATCAACACCGTCTTTCTTGTCGCTGTTAACGGCCGATCGCGTTTGCGCTTTTTCCGTGTTGACCACCTTTTTTTCCTAGCGTTTCGGGGGCTTGAGTTCGAGTTTGGGTGTGGCATCGGGCTTACATTCTAGGGTCGTTTAGGGCGTAGGCTTTGAGGTTTGGGGGTTATGGCTCAGGATTCGAGCTTAGGGTTTTAGGCTTGGGCTTTGGGCGTTTCTTTGGTTTGCGGTTTGAGCTTTAGGGGTTGAAAGTGGGGCAAATCAAACACCATGGGCGGCATACATTTTCGCTTCATTCTTTTGTTGCACAGGTGGGATCCAAGGACTCAAGGGGAGATTGTGCGCGTGCTACAGGTTTTGAATGCCGTCTGGGCGCCGGCTGAGTGGTAACGTGGGGTCTATGGTTTAGGCTGCAGGGCTTTGGGGTTGAGGTTCGGGGTTTGGGTCGAAGGCTTAGGGCTTCGGGATTCGGATCTTTAGGGTTAATATTTGGGGTCTAGGGTGTTGGGCTTAAGTTTTATGCTTAGGCTTTGGGGTTTCGGGATGAAGGTTTGTACGGGCTTGGGCTTTAGGAGTTACGGTCCGAGGTTAAACTTTGATTTTTTTGTGGCTTCGGGTTTGGTGCTGGGGCTAGGGGTTTTCGGATTCGCGGATTTCCGTCTCTTCGGATTGGGTTTGCAGGTTTACCGGAGAAAGGAAAGGCACAGCTGTCCGAAAAAGAGAGACACAAGCTGCAGACTAAAGCCGAGACCAAAAACACACACAAGTTGCCAGAGGACCTGTTCGTTCGGGGTGCCCTGACAACGCCGGTCTGCGCTGTGCCACTTAACTGCCTGGAGCATTAAGGGAGCTTGATTTGCCGGTCAACAGCGCAAAACCAACCATGTAAGCATCTCGAGGAACTCAGAAAACTTCGTGAGCGAATCTATTGATTTAATTGTGGCGCGCTTCAAAGAAGAACGGTTCTATCGGGTGGCAATTCTTTGCAGCCGTGGCGTTGCTGGCAGAACTTAATGCCTGTTGGAGGTTTCGGAATGCAGCCTGACCGGCCAATTACAGGTTTTTTCAGACTCTTCGTTGTTTTCTGAGAGCATGTGAATCATGGACTTCAAGTCTTTCCAGGGGGCATCAGACTTGAATTCCCAAAAAACGCAGGCTTGGCCTGCCCTTGTCCGTGGCTTCCACGGTGCCCAGCATCACGCACGTGATTTCGCTGACGACCTACGAGGCCGCGTCTGCCAACAACACAACATTGCTCATATCAGGGAAGGTGCCATGCAAATCTATATATCATCCATGTGTCCATTTATGCATCGATCTACCTGCTTATCTACAGATGCGTGTGTGTGTGCATCTATATATATATATATATATGTAAAGATATATGTAACGATATATATATATATATACATACATACATACATACATACATACATACATACATACATACATACATATGGATACACACGTACAGATCGACACATAATTTGTACATCTATCTATCTTTCTATCTACCCATCCTATCAAATCAAATCAAATCTTACCTTATCATATCCCATCTTATCCTATCTAGCTAGCTAGCTAGCGAGGTAGCTAGCGAGGTAGGTAGCTAGTCAGCTAGCTATCTATGTACCTACCTATCTATCTATCTATCTATCTGTCTATCTAACTATCTGTCTATTTATCTATCTATATCTCTATCTATCTCTAAGAATCTCTCTTCATCTATCTCTCTCTCTCTCTCTCGCTCTCTCTCTCTCTCTTTCTCTCTCTCTCTCTCGCTCTCTCTCTCTCTCTGTATTTTCTGTGTTCTCCTCTCTTGAGATGAGGGTACCAGTTGTCAGACAACTAGGTAGAGACCCGATAGATTTTTCGATTGAGTAGGATGGCTTATGTTTTGCTATAGGCTGTGATTCTCATTGTGTGGGTTGGGGCGGGGTGGGGTGTGGCGGAAGGAACAAGTGACTCAAGATGGATAGATGGGTGGCTGATGGATGCAGTGACAGACGAACGGACGGACGGACGCATGCAGGCAGGCAGGCAGGCATGGATGGATGGAAGGCTGGATGGAGTCAGAGAGACAAAGCGAGAGAGCGAGAGAGAGAGAGAGAGAGAGAGTGTGTGCGCGTTCGAGCACGGAGGGGGTAGCTTGACCGCGCCTGCTCCTGGCCCTGTAGAGAGAGAGAATGAAAGAAAGAGTGTGTGTCGACATATACAAGTGTGTAAAAGACACAGAGACACACACGTATACGCATCATATGTCTAGGTCTATGACCATGTCTAGTCTACGTCCACGCCTACGTGTACGTCTATGTCTTTGTGTACGTTTATTTGGCTATGTCTATGTCTTTCTTCATGCACCCACACCTTCGCGCTCATGTGTGTTTAGACTACTTGCACACAACAAACATGTAACATGTATAGTTTCGTTTGCATTCACATCGACGAGAACTTCAGATCACCGCAACGACAGATGTAGCACCGAGAGCTTCTCGCCATGCCCAACGTCCCCAAGTTTCTTTTGCGCCGAAGTTGCGGATAACCGCAGATCCCAATCTAATCGCAGAAAATCTACGAGCTAATCCTCGAGCCAAGGTGCAGCAGCTTCCTCAGGGCGAGCGCAAAGTACCAACCAAGGCATGCTCAGCGGTGCTTGCAGGTTCGCAGGTGTCTTCCCACTGTGCTAGATCATCCGTAGACTGCAGACGCAGTGAGCAAAAACCCAACCGTCAATTCAGACATCCTGGCTGACTGGACCCTACAGAGCATCTGTGAGCACTGCGTTGCAGCCGGTCGGAGTAAGTCTGCCTCGTCATCGGTACGCCGGCCTGTGGTGGACTTGCATGCAGAGCAGCAGCAGAAGCGATCCCATGGCCACGGCCTCAACTCTGAAGTGGAACCTCAAGCCTCAAACTGATGACCAGAGAGAGAAAAAAGCCCCTGTTGATGCCAGCGGCAGGTTGTCGAGCAACGTGCCACGAACTTCCTGTGCCTGGGCCGATGGTTGGGGTTGATCCAGCTGACGCGACTGAGCCCGAGCATAAGTCTCTGAAGCTATGTCCTCCCTAAACCCTAAACCCTAAACTTCAAACCCTAAACCCTAAACCGTTTCAGCAGCCATACTACACTGGTGGATCTGCAGCGCCTGGAAGGATCCACGTGCTCATCGGCTGTGCCTTGTTCATGGCACCGATTCTGCATCTTGACTGATCTGCATTGTTATTTTAAGGAGGCTTTCATGAATCTGCATGTTTCTTCCATGCCCTAAGCCCTAAACCCTAAACCCTAAACCCTAAACCCTGCCTCTTGCACTTGTGTTGTGCGATGCCCACCCTGAAACGGGTCCCGAGCCCAAGCTCGGGTGGTCGAGCGCCGGAAGGGTCCCCAGAGACTCCAATATTCCTTAATTAAGGAATATTCCTGAAATTATAGTAGGATCCTTAATATGATTTAAGGTATATTCCTCAATTTAGGGATATTGGAGTCTCTGGGTCCTCCTTGTTTCCTCAAGCAAGAAACTCCAAGACTCAAGACCGGACAGCCAAGCCAGACATCGCTGAAGAGCGATGTCAACCCCGATCTTGCTATCGCCCTGAAATGGCTGTAGCAGTGCCGTGAATTACAGCCTCTTTCCTGTGCGGATTCGTCCTGCTGAGGAAGTTCATTCCCCGAGCCGTCCTCCAGGGCGTTTTCTTCTACATGGGCATCGCCTCCCTGACGGGAAACAACCTCTTCGACCGCATGCCCCTCTGCATGCAAAAGTCTTGATGCGGGATCCGTCAACTTGCGTGCGTGTCTTCTTGGTCTGTCAGTTGCGATCGAGAAACATGTGCCATAAGAGGCCATCGCGATGGCTGTCTCTGTGCTATGCAAAGCGCTCCCACGAGAACCCTCAAGGATCCGTGCGCGCAGCACCTGAGGAAGCTCTGGCTCATCTGGGACTCCTCCAAGTATCCGTCGTACCACTACATCCAGAAGCTGCCCGTGAGCAGGGTCCACCTCTACACCTTCGTGCAGGCTATGTTTCGGGATTCCGGCCGGG